TCTCAAAAAAAAAAAAAAAACAAAAAAAGAGGCAAAGATGCTCACTATATTCTCTACATTAAAAGAGGTCACAAATATAGTAATAATGCAGAATGAGCCATTAAATAATTGCATATTTTCATGAGATTATGAATCATTTTCCTTTCCTGTCTGCATTTTGTATCTTTCCTTTGGTATCTACAATGGTTTGTTTTTTCTTTTTAAAAAAGGGAGATAAGAAAACCAAGCTGCTTAATGATTATTTGTGAAAAACAAGAAGTGTGACATTTCTTGGTGCATGTGCGGAAGAACTATGGGATGAATGTGTAGGAAGCAGTGGGGTGGGGTGTTCCTGGGTTAGAAGAGCTGGACAGAAGGGAGGTCAGTGCATGAGTATGAGCTAAGCGGCTCTTACGAAAAGACCCCGAATTCAGTGGGATAAAGAGCGAAGCAGTTTGTCTAGTATGCCTCAGGTAAGCATTCCTGGACCATGGGCAGTGCTGTCCACTTCTTAGAGGACCAGATTCCTTTCAACTCAAGGCTCTGCCCTTCTCCAGCACTTTGCCATTCACTGCCTGGATGGCCAAGGCTGAGTCACAGCTGCACGTGGGAAGAAAGCACATGGAGCAGGAGGTCAGGGCACAGTGTTGGAGCTGCAGGCTGCAAGTGGTCCTGGCTGTGGCACATCCCCCTGGTAAGAGCGTCATCCACAACCTCACCTAACTGTAAGGGAAGCTAAACGGGCAAATGTAGCATGGCTGGCCAGCCTCGTGCCTGGCTTTGATTCTATTCCTGTGGAAAAGGGAAGAGTGGATTTTGGTGGACCAGCCTTCTCCACTGTTGGTGTTGTCAGAGCCAAGTGAAGTCACAGCAAGCAGTGGGACGAGGAAGCAGAGAAGAGAGAGGAGGTGAAGAATGGAAGCCACTGCTAGCACCGTTCAACGAGGGTGGCTTGTTTGATGCATCAGATGATGGTCCCCAGTGCAGGGATGGATGATGTGCTGGTGGGCTGAGTACTCCTATTCATATTCCTAATGTGCCAGCGTCACTGCCTTCCCTCCCACTCAGGAAAGAGTGTCAGAATTCAAGTCAATATGACATCATTCAGAGGAGCCTGGATTTCGGCAGCAAACTCCTAACTCATCATCTCACCATCCCCAATCTATTATCCACTCCACAGCCAGATGAACCTTCTAAACCAAATCAAAGCAGCTCCCTACCTGCTTCCAGCCCTTTGGAGGCTCTCTGTTGTTCTCTGGATAAGGTTGAAAACCTTTCCCTTGAGTCATGCTGTCCTTTGTAATAGGGCCTCTGCCTCCTTCAGCAGCCTGATGCTTTGCCGTTCTCCAGCTGTGCTGGCTGTATTAGCTCTTGGGTATAAAGAATCTTTCTCTCCTGCCTCAGGGCCACCTTGAGCAGTCTTCCCCTTGTTCTTCTCCTGGGTAACTCCTTCTCATCCTTCAAGATCTTTGAGTAAACATCACTTCCACACGGAGACTTCCTGTCTCCCCTCAATCTGCGGAACACACCTGTGCTATATATTTTCATACCCCTTGCACGTTCATATGGCCTACAAAACACGCAGCTCCTCACGTGATAACATTTTCTTCATTTAATAATAGAGAACTCTCAGAGGGTTCTGATCTGTCTGTCTTGTTAGAGTCTGTGTTAAATGGGTGAAGAAATAAAGCATTGGGTTCTTCAGTCATGGTGTAATCATTTCAAATGGTGCACTTTCGAACCAGGTGGAAGTTATCTTGGGGAAATGTTGCTCGCAAAAGGAGAGATGCTCTTCTTTCCAAGAAGAGTGTGAAAAGGTGAGCAAAGCCTTCATTGACCTTGAGGGAGACGCCTGAGTTTTGGATACAGAAGCTAAAATAGGTAGGAATCAGATATTTCAGAAGGTGCAAAAAATAAGTGTGTCTGACCTTGTCTTCAGAGCGTTCCTGGCCTCTGGGATATGTTTGTATGCAGATGTCATTTCGTATTTATAAATTAGCCTAGAGGGGCTGTGTGTGGGTCCGTAGGTGGACTGAAGGACAGTGGTGAGTCTGTAAGGGTGAGAGATTAGAGCAGAAAGGCTGAAAAAAATGTCCAGTCTTCAGCATTTTGTACATCCATTTAATAAATAGCTTTTGACAGCTTACCAATGTGCCTGCCACTGTGCTGGATGCTTCTGGGGACAAGAGACATAGGAGATACAGAGATAGAGGATGGAAAGGTCAGGGTGTATGGGAGCACGGAGGAGAAAGCAGCAATTTGCTCAGTCCAGGTGGGAGAAGGCATCATGGAAAGGGCAAAATTGAACTGGGCCATAAAACAATAAATTAGAATTTCCAGTGGAAAGACGAAAAAGGGCATTCTAGAAAAGCGAAGAACGGGAGCTTGAAAAACGTCCGCATTTGGGCAATAGCGAGGAGCCAGTGTGGATGGGGAACCCAGGCCTGAAAGCAGGAATGATAATAATGATCGCTGACATTTAGCAGACATTTCTTATGTGCCAGACACTGCTTAAGTGCTTTGCCCATATAATCTCAGTTTATAAGTGGCAGAGCCAAGATTTTGAGCCAAGGCAGTCTGACTCCAGAGCTCATGCTTGTAAGCACAGGGCTATTCCACATTGTCAAGGAGACTGCATGCCAGGCTGAGCTCCTGGGAGGGGTGAGGGTTTGGGAAGGATTTTAGCATTTGGAAAATGATGCATTCAGACTGTGCTTTGGAAAGACCATTCTGAGACCTGTGTGAATACAGGCTGTGCAAGCTGTCATGAGGGGCAGAAAACACTGGATACTGCCTCACCAACGGGAAGCGTAGAGTCTCCTTAACAAGCAGACCTCACAAGTGTGCCGATTAAATGCTCGGGTTCCTACCACTGATAAAATACAAACTCTAAAGGAGTTTAGAGACAGCAGAGAAAGCTAAGCTGGGCAAATGGATGCAGCCATTTTAACTTCAGGGACGGTAGAGTTGAGTCCAAATCAAGATGTCCTTTGTCTCTTTGCAGTGGAATGGCCCATTTTTGTCCCCAAATATACTGGTTCGAATTGTATCCCACAGAACTTCTTGCCCCTGAACTTCAGGGTGTGACCTTATTTGGAAATAGGATATTTTGGTAAAATTAGTTAAGATGAGGCTATTCTGGAATAGAATGGGCCCCAAATCCAGTGACTGCTTCGTTGTGTGTGTGGTTTTTTTTTTTTTTTTTTTTTTTTTTTT